TCAGAGTATTTTTTAGAAAATGTGGCTAAAATCATCAAAATACAGAATATCGGGGGGTACCGTTTTATGGAGGCTATACGATATCGTGGACCTATATAGACAATTCTCTTTCAGGGGGTAAAGTGCCCACAAAGAACGCCTCGTGTGGATTTTTATACAATTCCATTAGAAAATGTGGCTGCAGACAAAAGAGAGATCTGGGCAAAATTTTAGCTTTCTATCTTAATTCGTTTACCCTGTAGCGTGATTACAACAGTCGAAAAGACCGACGGACAGTGCTAAAACGTCTTAGAATTTTACGCTGATCAAGAATATATATACTTTGTTGGGTCTAAAATTATTATTTCGATGAGTTACAAACGGATTGACGAACTTAATATGCCCTCCATACTATGTATGGTGGAGGGTGTGAAATGGTATATAATATAAATTCAGATACATATATATTGTACATACATACAATGCTATAATATAGAAGCATTATGTTGTGGTAACCATAACCAATAGCTGAAACAATAACTTTCCACCCACGAGGATATGACTTACCCCTCTCCCCCCGCAGCTAATAGAAAACATGAACATACCAGATAAATTGGTACCTACTGCCAACTCAAAATAACATTTGAGCAAAGTAGCTTTAGTTGTATCAAATATCATCTATGGGACCAAATTATGAAATCGAATGAAACATATATATGGGAGTTATAGCCCTATCTGAACCGATTTTTGTGAAATCAGACTCAAATCAGAATTGACTGATTTTATGACTTTTTTATAAAAAATAAAAAAAAATATTTCAAAAATATTCATGAAATCGTTGAAGATTATTTCAAGCAAATGTTTACCATGTCAGCTGTTGTCTCACGATCAAATGCTTCAATGGTGTCTTCCAACATGTCAATTGAAACGCGCTCGTTTGTATAGACATTAGCTTTACCATAGACTCACAAAAACAAAATCGTCAAAAGGCGTTAAATCACACGATCAAGGAGTCCCGAATGTGAACGTGAAATGCAAAATTCATCGAACTGTTACGAATGCTGTGTATTTCTGAAACCACGTATCATGCAAGTCAAGCTCTTGGATTATAAGCAAACGAAACAGTGGACTCGTTACGATTCGCAGCATCCTTTTCAATACTTCTGGCTGATCTTTACTCCTAAGTTGACAATTCTGTTCAATTACGGCCCATCGAGCCAAAAATGAGCTTCGTCCGTCCGTCTATCTGTCCGTAGAAATTACTCTAGTTCCCTACGAAATGCAGTAAGTTTATAAAATTTTACTCAAATGTGTGTCAAGTCTGCAGTTTCGGTATAGCGTACCGACAGATACCGACAGGTATCATATAAGCGTACCGACAGATTTAAGATTTTTTTGGGTGTTTTCACAGCATGTGTTCCTATTGGTCCAAATTTTGGCATAGTCATATAGCCATATTGTTATACTTCCCAATATTCGGTATTTTAATGATTTGTGTCACACTTTTCTTCGGCAGGTTCCTAATGGCATTTGGAACATTATTTTTGAAAAAATCACTTTGGTCAGTCTTCTTCGAGTCCTCTTGGTGATCAAAAAATGATTAACTCACTTGTATGACCGAAACGACTCGAAAATGACTCTCTCTAATGAGTAAAAAGAGATCAATTTAATGTACAACAACAAAATGTAGGGAAATCGAAAATCAATCATTGAGATGAGCAAAATGTGACTTTTTTGCGTTATTTGTTGATATAAGTTTGTTGATAATGATAAGTCTTAGAAAGATCATGCAGTTGTTTGAAAAGTGATCATAATTGTTTTTTTAACATATGCTTAAACGCTGCTTGTTTTGCTAAGCATAACGTGTCATATTGTTGCGTTTATGGAGTTTACTTATTGCTCATTTATAAAAAGTGCGTGGAGCTGTAAACATTAAAAGTGTGAAATATTGAAAAGTGAAATAAAATATATTAAAAAAGTGTAAGTTAATTCGAGTTTTTATAAGGAAAATGTCAGCAAATAAAATAAAAAATGGGAATGGCTAAAAAAAATGGCAAAAAGAGGCAGAACATTTTTTTGGAAAAAGATATTAAACTGGAGATGAGAATAATGAAGATAATGTTTTTTGAATTTTGAAGAGCGTGTTGCGCCAATTCCAAATTTTGGATGCCTTCGATAATTTTGGGCAGCAAAATGAAACAATACTCAAATAATATGTAAGTATTTGATTACCTAACTAACTATTTAATTAACTTCTTAATAATCTAATTATAAATACTTATATAGTCTTCTAATAACCTCTTTCCAGAAAGAGTTTATTGTCAAACCCAAAAACGGCGGTGAAGGAAACACACAATTCCTTCGGTTCGAAAAGTTTGTTTCAGATAATTTAACCTGCCACTACAACTGGGGACCAATATAAATCCGAGTGTAGAAAAGTCCTTTTTATAATCAATCAATCGATAATCAAAAGTAAGTTTATATTATCAACACGAATATAAAGAAGTAGTAAAATAGACAAACGCTTAAGCGTATTTTATTTCAGATATTTGTAATATTAAATACAACAGCAATGATAAGGTATTGCCTGCCTTACCCCCTGGTAAACATTACCATCGTTCTCCACTAATAAACAAACGTTGTTTTTATAAATACAATAATAAGGGGATTAAAACTGGTCATTTTGCAACAAAAAAAATACTATGGTATCCCGAACAAACAAGCCAGCACTCTTCAATACCTCCCCTCCCTATATTCAGTAGTTTGGTGATTTTAGCGACACTATTGACCGAAATCGTTTTCGATTTGGTGTCGTAAATTCGTAATGGAAACTGTGACGAAAAAAATTCATATTCAGGTCAGGTATTTGTATTGCCTCATATAACAGTACCTCCCTAAATTGGGCATTTTGGCGAATTTAGCGACATTGTCCGCCTGAAAATTTTAAATAAAATAGAATTTAATTTTTTAAATAACTCAAGAACCGCTGTCATGATTTTGACAATTCACACTGTTTCGTCTATTGACGGAAAAGACACAATCTAAAAAAATCGCTTAAAAATATGCTACTCTAATTTGTATAAAAATATTTCTGAGAAAAAATGTAAAAATTATAGAAATCACGAATAACTTTTTTTCTGGAAAATTCTCACTAAAATGCTTTTGTACGCTCTCAAACAATATAATGAGCTGTCACGGGAATAATTTTAAAAGCTGTCGGACGAGTAGCTTAGAAAAGACAGCAGTCTGAAGTTGGTTGCAGTTTTTTCATCTTACCCTGCATCTTAAGCATTTTCTATTATAAGATTTTTGATGTTTAGGTAAGATTTTGACTTTGAATGTATTTCGGAAAAATTTCCTGATTTTGAAGTTGCTCTGTAGGCCACAATTATGAACCAATCGACGCGAAAATTTACATGGAGTTTGGGACTGGACAGAAACCTACCAATTTGGGCGCCCATCGGACAATAATTAGCGGGTAAAATAGACCCTAACTTTTATGTTAGAAAATATTTTTAATATTTTTAATCCCAGCCAAGTCACAAATACATTAAAAGATAACTCCTGACCACTAAGTGATACTAATAGCCGAGAAATCGGATATATAGCAAAATAGGTACAATATATATGTAAAAAAATGATGTTATTTATTCTGCTTATAAATCAAGAACCGCTAAGCCGATTTTCACAATTCCCATCAATTCGGAATGGTCTCTTGCCAGAATAGGATAAAATCTAAGAAAATCGCGGGATAATATATACTAAAAGGTTATATATTTTGTTTCATTTTTTCCATTTTTGTCATATTTTTTTATCGCATGCGATTTTTTCAATTTGACTTACACTTTTGAATTTTAAATTTTCCAAATTTTTACACCCCCAACACTACGTTTTGAGGGAATTATATCTACGTCTTATATATTATATCAATTATCGTCCGATCCTCACGAAATTTTGCATGGGGGTAGGGTCGGAATTGAAGTCTACTGTTCTTAGGATGTACATTTAGAGATTTAAATGGCAAAAAAAAATTTAAATTTTGTCCAATTTTGTAGTTGTTCAATTGTGGAAACTAATCGACGTGGAATTTCGCATCGGAAGAGAGTTAAGGACAGGGAAGAAGTCTAGCATTTTGGCTGTAAAATGGTCCACAATTTTCGTGTGCAATTATTTCGAATATTTAACAACACTACGGAGTGCGTAAATATTGGCCAAATTCTTCGGGTCAAAAACCTAAGGGTAACCTTTGGGCAGGGCTCTCTGGCATTATTTCAAAAACGAAATCTTCCAAAATGGATTTGGATATAAGGGGACTTCGAACGTATTGTAGTGTTGTAGGGTGTCACAGGGTCGGCCCCGCACGACTATAGCCTTTGCTTACATGTTTTTCAAATGATTTTGTAGAATTTATTGATTTGTTACGATCGAACATAAAAAGTTTTTAATAAAAATTAAGAAAAGGCAATTGGAACAATCTTTTATTGCGATCACAAATATTGACGAGGACACAGTATGCCTAGAGTGTAAAGATTTCAATAAACTTTACTACAAAAAGTTCATAAGATTACAAAGATGGCTACTTTGTCCAAAACCCCGATACACTTGTCTTCTATATCCAGCTAAACTTTTAATCTACTGCGTTTTCCTGTAATTATTGTAAAAATGATTTTGGTCGCATAATTATTATCATAATTTTCTTCAAACTCCGCATTCAATAATATTTATAGCACTACTATATCTATATTAAAGGTGAAATATATCATTCTCGTACCATCCACACAAAGTATTTTAATTTTTAATAAAAAATCCAATCGCTCAGCAAAATCGGAAAGAGAATCCGATTTGGTTGTAAACTGGTGTATCATGATCTGTCAATCGGACGCAGGTGCTAAACATCATTTTCTTGTAGTCAGCTACCCATCTTATTAAAAAGCATTTTTTAATTTTTGTTTTACAATTTATTTAACAACTATAACTTTAACAAAAACAAAACAACAATACATCAGTCTTTAGTTCGAATTCCTAAGATTTTTAGTGACGGAAAACCGATGATGGCAAGTATGCGATTATCAGACCTAATTAGCCTCTCTAGACAAACTCCGATTCGTTGTTTAAAAACGGCGACGGAAAACGGATGAGGGCAAGTAGGCATTCTGGGGAACTTGAGCTGTGGCAGCCGGTAAAGCTGACTGAGAAGCAAAGTTAAGAACGGGAGCAACACCGCCATTGAAGTTTTGCGATTTACCGCCCAATGAATCGTATTGGCTTTGGATGGCACGTTGGGCATTTGCAGCATCTTCAGGGGTACGGTATTTGACAAAATGAACTTCGGGTTTTTGATTGTTGTTGGCGCCGAGGTTGTTAAGTTTATTGGCCAAATCACCGAGATCCGCCTGCTTGTTGAGGACATAGATGGCAGTTTGTTGTTGGGCAGCTTGTTTGGCCAAAGCCAAAGCTGCATCTTCCACACCGCTGTTTTCGGGTCCCTTGATGAAGATAACACGAAGACCTTGTTTCAAGCTACCGGCAACACGTTGAGCAGCATTGGGATCACTGAATTCACCTTCAGGTGCGGAGAATGTGTAGAATTCCTTTTCTAATTCAGCTGCGGGAGCAGAGTAGGCAGGAGCATTATGGCTGGGGCTACCAGCAGGAGCAGAAAAGGATGGACCACTTAAACTTCCGCTACCACCTCCCACAGCACCTGGGGCAAAAGACAATCCACTGCTGGAGTGTCCAACGGGTTGGTAGTTATAACCCAATTTATCGGCACATGCCACAGCCACTAAGCATAAAACCTAAAAGGATGGAAAATAACACCTATTTGTATCCACATTTAATCAGTTTATAATTATTCTTTGCTTACAATGAAGGCACGCATTTTGACTGAATTTTCTTCGGATGTTTTCTATTTGATAGCAAAACTATTTCTGTATACATGAATTTGAATACTAAGCTGTTTTTATACTATTCTAATTCATCGAAATAGGTTAGTATGTTTTTTTTTATTCACCGAAAATAATCTTCATTGGCTCTCTAACCTTATATGTAATCTTCGATAATTACTTCTATAAAAGCTCACACTCTACCAACACCTACAACGGAAACTGCAAACACGTTTATTTTTATTTAAAATTAAGTATTTGTGCGTGTGTATTTGTCTGGCTGCTCAATGCAAGGTGCGAAGAAGCGGTCAATGGTAATCATTGGAATTTCTATTGTTAAACGCTGTTGTTTTTTTTTTTTAGTATTCATATCTATTAAGTATTCAAAATCCATTATGGTATTTACTAGGTAGCGATATTTTTTTCTTTGTGGAATTTTGAATTGAAAGCTTATTGAATATCGTTTATGGACCACAACATTGTTGTCCCACTGCGATTGGAATAAGTTGATCATACATATTATTTTTAACATCTGAACATACTACACGACTCATTTATAACAGTTTATACAAATATGTTCAGTCTTGTGTATTACCTGACGACGAAACATACAACCGACGGACAAATGCCATTTATCGTATTGCTTTTGAGATTCATATTAGTAGCAGATAATGAAGTGATATTTTCAATTACCATCGGAGTCATTCTTATGTGGAAAAAATGCATTTGAAGTTCGCATTCCGAATTGCTAGGACGTGACTGAAAATTATGTTTTAACAATTGAAATTGGAAATATACAAAAGTATACATTTCATAACCCCGGGAAACGAGTCTGCGGAAAAAAGATGTATAGTCCATTTTTATACCCTACAACACTATGTGTTGGGGCAATTATAAGTTTGATTGGGCCAACAATTATGTAACATCGCGAAATATTGGTTTCCCACATAGGAAAGTATATATGGAACTGTCCATGTTAATTTGTAATCACGTTACAGGTCGCAATTAATGCCCGATCATCACGAAATTGAAAATGGGGGCGGATAGGGTCAGAATAGAACCCTATTGTTTTTGGAGATGATCGCATAATATATAGGGGTTGAAATGGACCAAAAACTGAAAAATTTCCTGATTTTGCAATTGCTCTACAGTCGCAATTATAGACCAATAGAAGCGGAAGTTAGCATGGGACTAGAGCTTAGGGGAAGTCTTCTAATTTTGAAGGTCATCGGGTAATATTTAGTGGGTGAAATAGACCATAACATTTGTGTTAAACAAAAATCAAATTTCCCATTAAACCGCGAATATTTTTAATCCCGGCGAAATCACAAATAGACGAACAGGTCAATTCTGACCGTTACGTAGATGCCGATATTAAATATATCGGATATATATAGCGAAATATGTACAATGTGTAAATACATTGGAAGGGGATGTTAGACAGAATGCTTATATCTCAAGAATGGCTGAAGCATTGTCAAAAAACGTTTGGTTGAGATAAAAACCTGCAACAAAGTCAAACGCCACAATTTTTACTTTTTTTTAATTTTATTGAATGAAAGCAGAAAATGTCGGAAACAGCATCAAATTTTAGAATAAGTTTAGATTTGTTCGAATTGGTCACCTTTGTCACGAATTATGGCCTTCAAACAGCCAATGAAGCCGTCACACGCTGCACGAATGTTGCTCTGCGGTATTTTGACCCATTCCCGGCGAAGCGATTGCTTGAGGTGATCGACACTTTGCTTTCCAAAATACTCCAACAGGGTATCCCGAGATTTTAGTGGCTATTTATGCGAGGAACCTCATTTTTAAACCATTCTTGGTTGGCGCATGCTGAATGCGATGGTGTTGAGTCCTGTTGAAATGTCCAAGGTCTGAGCCCAAAATGTTTGCATGCCCAAAGCTTTAATACACCCCCAGAATATGTAGGCGGTAATATTCGGCATTTATTCTGATGCCACAGTCGATTAACACGAGCGGAGAGCGACCATCGGCTGTCATGGCGGACCACACCATCACCATGGCCGGTGCTTGCGTTCTGCTGGCTAACCGAAGTTGCACATTTTCAGCTGACCTCTTTGGCAAGTAAACACGATCATTTTGTTTGTTTACAAACTGCTGGACAACGAATGTTTTCTCATCGGAGAAAAACAAATTCAGAAGTTCACCACTTTCGGCCAATCGAAGCAACTCTTTAGCTCTTTTGAGTCTGTTTCCTTTTGAGTCTGCGGTGTAAGTTTTTGCACTTTTTGGAATTTCAATGGCTTTATCCCGAGCTCATTTTTCAATATTTGCCGAATGGAATATTTCGATTTGTTCAGCTCACGAGCCATTTCTCGGCCACTGCGATGCGGGTTTCGATCAAGTCGCTTCGTTACTTTTCGAACCGTTTCTGCTGATGTGGCTGTTTCCACTTCCGTCCACTTCCTTGACGTCGGGCTATGCTATCAGCATCACGGGCTACTCTCCCAGCTGGAGTGCTCTAACGTAGCCACTTATGGTTTTCCAGTCAAATAAAAATAAATCACACTATCACGCTTGAATTCCATCACGAATAACTTTTTTTCTGGAAAACTCTCTATAAAATGCTTTTGCATGCTTGTAAACAATATAATGAGCTGTGACTGGAATAATTTGGCTTAGAAATGACAGCAGCTGGAAGCAGGTTGCAGCTTTTTCATCTCACCCTGTATTGTGCTTCACCCTATTCGGTGTTTCGATGATTTCAGTCTCAGTTTCCAGCGGAATAGATTTACATTCCGTATTTGGAGTTCATAACAAGTTCTACCTCCTATGGCATAACATTGTCAATACAAGTAAATTTCTTAGAGCCCCCATATTTATGTACCTCCCGATATTCCGACTTTAGAGGATTTATTTGGGGTTCCTAATAGATTATATTTCCTGTGAAAGAAAATGAGCTATATGGTTTCACGTTTTCCTATAGCCCGTTATATAGAGGCATTTAAGGGTTCATTCCCATATTGTGCATTTTGATCATTTTAGCCCCAGCTTCTCACATTTCGGAAAAAAATTCTGAAGAAACAGCTCATAATTTGTTTTACCTTAATAAAATAAATAAATACTTTCATGATTGATTTATTTCGGAAATTCAAAGTTACCTCTCTCGCTCTCAAAACTTCTTTAAATTCTCAAAATAATTTTGCATGTCATGAGAGCTGGGAAACGCCACCTTTAATGAATAACATTCATCATTATATTATACCAACTATCACTGCTGGGTATCCACGGGCACACGTTATGGAAAGTACTTCATGCATTTCACACGTTTCTACTGATTACCAGTAAATGACGTGGGAATTTTCATATAATTATACAATACTATGCATGTACCATCAATTGGACATTATTGACTTGTGAATGTGATGCGTTTCGTCTTCAGTTGTATCCTGTGGCGTTGTGACGTTCCAACAAAGGCTGCATTGTTCCATTCACAACAGCTACAAGAACTACGTACATCTATAAGGCATTTGCTGTCAACACACAAGTGAATACAGATTCACTCACAAGCGATGCAACAATAAGATGGTAAACTACACGAAGCTACAAGACAGGTAAAGGAAAAACATTGAAAATCAGAAAATATTACACAGAAGACCAGTGAATATAAATTACTCTCTTATTCCTGAAAAAATAACAAAATGTTTGATTGGAAAGAAATAATATCTCTCTTTCAAAGTTAAAGGTTAAACATCTACATCGGAGCTATAACTATATCTGCACTCAATTTCAATGATCTGCACTGGAGGTAAGCTGTGTTAAAATTGTCATTTGTCGAGGACAATTTTCTGTTGCCTAGTGAATCATCGACGGGGACTCAGCTGCTCCCCGCCAATAGATGCCACATTCATACTCGTAACTGGCGAATGTTATTGTTGTTGTTATCTCGATTGTTATTACAGCCAGTTGTGTATGGTTGAATGTGCACTGTTGAAATTATGCATACGAATATGCGAAAAGTAAACAATGATTCGCGACTACGACAACCGGGTAACTCTGCAAAACAGTGGCGACAACTGTTTATTTGCAAATCAGAATATGGGTTGTGAAATGATGCAGATGCTAACAGCATCCAATGAAAATGTTATTACTTTCCGCTATCCGGATATTATTTAATGCCTCCATTTTTTAAACGGATAGCTCTCGAAAGTTCGCAGATTTTCCAAATGTTAAACAATGTATATTATAATATATGTATCCAACGCAGACCAAATTGATAGCTTTCGTCAATTTTTCACCGAAAATGCTTAAAATGGTCGAAATAAGTGCACTTTTTGGTTTACTCCGTGTATTAAAGTATATCCTGATGCTCTGTAATTTGAATATTTTAAGCATATTTTCAAAGGATTTCTCAGAAATTATTATACCCTACAACACTATGTGTTGGGGGTATTATAAGTTTGATTGCGCCAGAATTTATGTAACACCTCGAAATATTGGTTTCCCATATAGGAAAGTATATATGGATCTTCCTAGCTCGCCGAGCTGAGTCGATCTAGCTATGTATGTCCGTCCGTCCGTCTGTCCGTCTGCCCATGTTAATTTGTAATCACTCTACAGGTCGCAATTATGGCCCGATCTTCACGAAATTTAGAATGTAGGTGGGATTGAGGTCAGAATAGAACCCTATTTCTTTTGGAGATGATCGCCAAATGTTTAGGGGTTGAAATGGACCAAATACTGAAAAAATGTCTGATTTTGCAGTAGCTATACAGGTCGCAATTATAGACCAATCGACGCGGAATTTCGCATGTAGCTAGAGTTTAAGGCAGGGAAGAAGCCTACCAATTTGGTCATCGGATAATATTTAGCGGGTAAAATAGACCATATCTTTTGTGTTGAAAAAATTCAAAATTTTTCATTAAACCGCGAATATTTGAAATCCCGGCTAAATCACAAAGCCATGACAAGGCTACTTCTGATCTTTACACTGATGTTAACATCCAACAAATCGGATATATAGCAAAATATG